CGTGTTTCACCTTTCGTACTTTACCAGTGAAGCCATCATTATCAACAGAAATTGGACGTGTGTTCGGCTTCATCTTCGATCTTTTTTCACATCAGTTGGGAATGGTAAATACAATTTTAACATATCTACACAAGATAATCAATCATTTTTATAAAGTTGTCCTATCATATTGGCTGTCTTAATAGCACTTCTTCCAAGTTAACAACTGAATATAATGGTATCTCTTTGCTCCACTCTGCACATGTAGAGACGCATCCCTCCACTATCCAAAGAGAATAACTGGATACTTGGGATGAGTGGGTGGTGCCCACAACAGATATAAATTGTACTTGTTTAGATGGCATTCTTTCTTTCAATAACAGCTTTTGTATTCTTTCTTAGCCATAATAAAATAACTTTCAGTGTTTAAATGTCGGACGGTGAATATTATCCCAATCACTACACATTTTTTGTGTGGAAGGTGGGGGAAGAAGGGGGGGAGGGGCGTCAGTAACAAGTATCTGTCGTCAGAGTTTAAGCAGGTGAAAAAATTCGCAGTGAAAGGGAAATTACTCCAGAGAATAATACTCCCCAAAACTAGGACTGGGGAACCAGAGTATGCGTATAACACCGTGGGTATGGATTACATAAGAAAGTAATGGATGAAGTTTTTCAGCCATTTGCTTCTCCAGCCGTCATACCTCACTACAACAGGGCTGGGTAGACGAGGATCTAACTGAATAAGATGAGTCAGTATACATAGGAGCGCTGCAACATGTACAAGTAGGTTCTGCTCCTTCCAACCACACCACCCCCTCCATAATTGTCAGCAGAGCTGGGTACACATCCTCCATAACTGTTAGCAGAGCTGGATACACATCTCCAATAATCTCGATAATTTGCAAAAGGGCGCTAACCGCGTATAGACGTTCTCTTTATTGCAGTTAGCTTATTCATTTTTTTTAAAGTTTTTTTTTTTTCCAGACATATATTAGCCATTTAGCACGTAATAATAATTATTATTGCCAACCCAAAGCCCGGATGAGAAAGGATGTGTTGTACCAACTATTCCACACTGTGAACAAGAAAATGAAACAATAAATGAATGAATGAATCAAGAGTTGACATCATTGCACTGGGGACATTACCTTACGTGCTCTGTCTCCTCCTTTTTCTGTAACTAATGAAGAAATGACTTGCTAATAGTACCAGTAGCAACCTGATTAAAAGTCAGTCTCTGTTTCCCCTTCAATGCTGAATATTTATTAGAATCTCTGTTCATCCCAAACATGTTGAATTTGTCCTTTAGTGTTTGTGTTCCCTATCTGTTCTTTTATACTTTCCATTTGATCCCATAGAGCCTTCACTGCTATCATATAGTGGCTCAGCGCCAAGAGGAGCAGCAGCAGCTAATCTGTCAGCCTGCTTGTAACCTTGCACATCAGAATATCCGGAACAGAAAATCCATGACGTGCTCTTTTGTTCTGGGTCTTAATAAGTGATGATCTACACGCATGATAACAGTTTTAATTTTCCGAAGCATGTTCTGTGAGTCTGTTACAATCACAACATGTCGAGTCGTGTTGTTTTCAAGCCATCGGAAAGCTGCCGTTACTGCCTCCACCCCCATTCTCATACTGGATGTAGTGACGTTGTATGCGAGCCTCTCTGTTTTTAATCTGTCCATTCACATTTGAAATAAAACTCCACCCACTCTTCTTAACTGTTAATACAGACCTATTTGTATATATTATGATGTAACATGAGCGTGAATTTTTATTGATCAGCTCTTGCAACGCTGACTCCATCTGCTGTCCATTTCCTGCACCCTCGGTCCAAGGTAACTATCACACCGTGCTGTTTTGCTGGTTGGTACTGTAACATATTCTTCACCTCGCTCTATTTTGTCACTAGCCCAAAAAGTTCTGACCGTGATTTATGCTTGTGCAATCCAAGAGCCACCTCTCTTTAGGCGTTGCCCGTTGTTATCCCACACGGCCTCATTCAGAAGGTATTCCCTGTCCAATGCGACTTTAATGTACATTTTCGCCTGTAAATTCTTGCATTTCTCATATACGGTTGGTAATGCAAGGATTGTCGAATGCACACCACAGGCGTGTTATATGTACACACTAACATGACTCGCATGGCTGGCTTCAATGTGTATGCGTTTTAACGTCTCTTTTTGGGTAAGAGATAATATTAGCAGCTCCAAACCATACTTCATCATCAAAATAATCAGTTGCTGGTAGAACTGTTCCATGTTCACTGATGCCATCACCTTCAAAGCATGCAGTCCGATCCCTATCTTTAACAATATTTCTAGGCTGCCACCTTCATCGACGTCCAGTATGTCGAAATTTATTCATGGAGCTGCGATAGGGCAGTGGCTATTTTATAATTATTATTGGCCTCTATGGTCGACCTAGTATAAAACTTATACCAGGAAATGTGTCGAAAAGTAAAGACGGCTGATGTCGATAGGTCTATAAAAGTATAGCTCTAGATGGCTTGAAGTTATTTGTATGCCTTTTTTTTTAATGACTACCTTCTGGTACCATAACATGAGTATGCAAGTAAAAATACTGCCTAGCGGTGATTGCAACTGATCAGCTGTACTACTCCAGTACCATAGCGAACAAATAACAATACTGCCTAGCGGTGATTGCAACTGATCAGCTGCACTACTACAGTATCATAGCGAACAAATAACAATACTGCCTAGCGGTGATTGCAACTGATCAGCTGTACTACTCCAGTATCATAGCAAACAAAATATACGGCGCCCATGCCAAGCAACTACAGTGATCCTTGTTTACAGAAGCATTAAATACGTGACTGGTAATTCAATTATTTTCAAACTGTCGACAAGATTTACAAGTACTGATAATAAAGTTCCCTAGCATTATTTATTGTGCAAAGGCTCATTTGTTGGTTGGTAGACTAGTTCTAAATACGTTGTAAGACTGGCCAATCAGTAGCCTGAGTTGCTGAAAACCTTTTGTTGAGCAGAGAAAGTATGATCTTGAGATTTCATTCACACATTCCTGTTACAGAAGTGACATCTTTTCGAGGACTGTTTTGTAGATATCTCTGACTCTTCTCTAACTTATGAACTAGGTGAGTGGTCAGACCGACATAGAATTGTGACTTGACGCACGGCGAGAAATATGTGATCTGTGTTTGCCGAGTGAGTGTTCAGCCTTTCTCAAATCATTGTTTGCATGTCATTATGATTTCTCAAGACATTGTATAGCGTATCTTGTGTGTCTCAAAATAATGTTCAGTGTTTGTCTTATCAGTGTTGAGAGTTTATCAAGTCAAATCCAGGTATGTCCAAAATCAATGTTCACTATTTCGCAAGTCAAGGATCAGTCTCTGCTGTCAGGTTTCACTGTCTCACAAGTACGTTTTCAGTGCTTTAGGAAAATAAAATTGAAAGCTCGCTCTGAAATAAGCCATTTAAACACTAATGAATTTAAGTTGTGTGTATCTTAAAGTCATAAAATAACACTGCAAAAGATAAATTTTTTTATGGAAATCCACATGGGTGGATGTCTTACCTGTTAGTGAACACTGCTAAAAACAATACACTATCTGGCTGAGTGGCCAAATTGTTAGGTTTTCTCTATGAAATAATAATAATAATTTATCATCAACATCATCATCATCAAAATGTTGTGCCATTATATGTTACACTGAACTGTCAGTTGAATCCTCCTTTTACCAGGGGATTTGTCCGACGCTCAAAACTCAAGAGAAGGGGGAGACGGATATACAATCAGACAATTACTGGAGCCATCGGAACTTGAATTCTTCATTTGTTGCTGAAGATTGGGCTTATGGTAGTGTCCGAGTGATATGATGTTCATTCCTTTTTCAACATTCAACATGCGAATCCTCGTTTCCGCTATACCCGATGTAATCCTTTCTCCATGGATGGAATCCAGTCCTGCACATCTAGACTGTCAGCTTGGCCGTCCCCAATTCTGAAAACGAGTTGTTCTCAGTTTGAGTGGTTGACTGGTGTTTCTCTGTTCGCTTTTCCCAATGATGTATCTACTGTTTTGCCATCTTTTCTGCCCTATAATTAGTTAGTCTTTCCTCTTGTGTCGAGTGCGGAACATAGGGCAGAGGTCATGACTCTCCATGCATGGCGGTTCGTTGCAATCTGTTGTAGGTCTTTGATGTTTGAGTGGCCCATGAGTGAGCCTTCCCTTGGTCTTCCACGAGATCTTTTCCCCTGTGGTGTCCAAATGAGGGCTTGGTAAGGAAGTCTTGATTTATCCATTTTAAGGGCGTGGCCGACATAGTTCCAGCGGCGTTTTCGTATAAAATTAGACACATACTCTTGCCTGGATTCTTGCCTTATTTGTGTATTGGCTCGGAAATCTGACCATTTGAAATTAATTATTTGCCTTTGTGGCATGTTTGTAAGGAGCAGTGGGTTTATACACCCCATCCAGCTCCCCTTTTTCCAACCCACAAGGAGCTCCATAACACGCCGTGCTGATCAAAATGACTACCTTAGTAGGTCAACTAATGTGTCACTTTAAATAGCTGTTGACTCCATCATGACATCTGCTTGATCAGTTATTGATATCCTTAAAATATTAGTCGAGAGCCTCAGTAAGTCTGCCTGCCTAAAATCCTCGCTGAGGTTGTTTTATAATAATATCGTTCCTAGATCTACACAGCCTAAAATAGATCTCATGGCAGCAAAGTCGACTGGAGTGAAGTTGACTACTTGTCACACTGAGTGTCGTTATAGTTACAAAATGTCTGGCTGCACTGCTCTCAAGCCATAGGAAAGCTGTCGTTACTGCCTTTACCTCCATTCTCCTATTGGATGTAGTGACGTTGTACGCAATGCTCTCTGTTTTAAGGCAGTTTCCACTCACCTTTACAATCTACTAGTTAAACCGGACCCCCTTTCTTCCCATTCTATGTACTAAAAAATGTATGACAATGATGATAATGATGAAGAGAATGATGATCAGTGACTACTTATTTATCTACAGGAAGACAATTACAAGATGATATCAACAAAGTTTATTCTAGCCATAGCGTGCCTGTTTACATCTGTCATGTGTGAGGACAGTTATCACGAGCTTGAAGCCAAAGTGTTTCTGAAAAACTACGACAATGAAGCATGGGAACTCTTCCACCAGTACAAGCTGGCGCAGTGGCAGATAAAAACAAACAACAGCCTGGAGAATGAGCTACAGCTTGTAAGATTTGTCCTATGATATAATGATAGCGAATTAGTAACTTAGTTAGTTATTTAGTTAGTTAGTTAGTTAGTTAGTTAGTTAGTTAGTTAGTTAGTTAGTTAGTTAGTTAGTTAGTTAGTTAGTTAGTTAGTTAGTTAGTTAGTTAGATTATCATTATTGCTCTCCAGACATGTCCATAGGTGCTCAGATTCTCCCTTCAGTATGAACCCCAACGTCCGATGGCTAATAGTACCAGTTCTATGTTGATTAACAATTCTTCTGCGTGTCTGGTGTGGGTCTCGTTTTTCGCTACGCCGATCTTAATTCCCAAGTCTGCCATTCTGGCAAGTGATGTGGATTCACTGCCACCAAAGTCCTCTATCCTTCCCATTTATCTGAGAGCATTAATAATATCAGCATGATCCATAGGCTGGCGGTCGGTAGTGATAGCGGATCCAGCTGACCTGTCAGCTCTTTCATTTCCATCGACGCCTGCGTGTCCCAGAACAACAACAAAAAAAGCTGACTCCACGCACAGCGGCCTTTTGTAATGATTCAAGCCATTGTCTTCGCACCGAACCTGTCTGAACCCTCCGGATCATACTCTGATTATACTCGTTTGAATTTTCACTGATGAGAGCGTTGACCTTTGCATTAACAGCAACAGGAGTCATTCTCTTCTCTACATCGCCTGTTGAGTGTGGCAATACTGGAAATAATACAAATAAACGCACGAGGCACAGGCATCCATTCTGCACCAGGTATGATGTCGGTTAGGCTGCATATTTGCCTAATAACATCTTCTGCTCGACCTAGCCACGATTTTTCCTTCTTCAATGTGTCGCCCTTTTCCCTAAAAAGCGCTTGATGCACTGGATGTTTCTTACCAGCACGTATTTTAAGGTATGGCCGAGCCCTCCACATCCTGATCCTTTGGTTATTGTTGGAAAGTCAAGTAGATACCTGTGGCGGAGTGAACAGCCAACACTACACTGTGGACTATTCGTGACGCTGACATCCCTAGCAGGCACGTCACATTTCAAATTTAAACCCCTCGGGAGGGGGGGGGGGTAATATAGTCTCTCACATTGATATATACCTCTATCTGGTGAAATAAACATTTCTAGACCCTCTAGTTGGTTTGAGAAGTCTACATTTTGAAACTTGCAACTGTGGGATAGATAATTTCTTGAATATTATTCAGAAATTCCTGTAAGCCTTTTTACTCCTTGGGCACGAATACAGGACTTCTTTTCTAGAGACGCCAAGCGGAATCTGGAGCGGGCATTCTTTTACCAGATCTCTGAGGTGTCAAGAGACATTTCAGTTCTCTCATTAAACTTTGGCGCATTCAAAATACCAGTTTAATCTTTAAAGGATTCCTAAGCTTGGGTAAGTTTATTATAGTTTACGAGTACCATGATATATGTCTCTTTAAAGTTGGCCACTGATGCAGGGAGGAAAGATTCAGCTGTATGACCGCACAGAACTAGGCGGTTCTTAATGTCCAGACACCCAAGCCCCTGAAATCAAACCTTTCCCTTCGCGGGCTAATAATTTGTGCTCTACATAACCCACACTATTATAAAGATTTTAAACCCAACAAGTTAATAATTCTCTAACCAGACAACGGAGTTTGTGTCGACTAGCAGACTATTGTAACTGGGTCGCCGTCAGAAGCTAGGCGCTCTGAGTCAGAGGTTATTTTTAGCACAACATTGGGTGTGCAGTGGGCAGATTGTGGAGAGAAAAATATATTCATGTACGAACGGGATAGAATGTATGTCTGCGGGTGCAGATCGGAAGGTGGAGAGAGGATGATCTATGTTTAGTAGCGTCTATCTATCTCCACTATGTACCTTGTCTTCTATCTGGTGTACTGACTTACAGACAGATAAATAAAGGGGACATTGTCTCCTGTTCTTGAGAGTATCCTCTGAGTGACTGAGAAGGGTAGCGGGAGATAAATTGAGCTTGGTGTGTGAATCTTAAGATGAATACTAATTCTGAGTTCTTTCCTGACAGGATGATACCTACTTAGAAGTCAGGCAAACGAGTCACAGTCCAGCCAACAATCACCAACCCATACCACCCCTATCACCAAACCTACCCAAAATCCTACCTATTGTTGGGACAACTTCAACATGGCAGGAGCTTGTGTGTGAGTTCCAGTGGCTGAAAGACAGTATTGCACGCCAGCTGTGTCATCAATACAAGGAAGCCTTCTTCAGGAGCTTTATTGGGCTCCAGCGCAGTTCCTTTGTCCTCATATGTGAGACGATCAGTGTTTACCAGATCGACCAGAGGAAAAGCGATCTACACAGTCAGCCGTTTCAAATCACCATGGACTGAGGGGAGCAGTGACCTACCAAATTGGATAAGTAACATCTGAGATGACATACCACATGCTCTATTTACATGGCTACCTATGATTCACTATGATGATTCATGTACTCTCTGAACTGTGTCTGGCTGTTTCAACATCAGCGCTGTGACGTTAAGTCCTGAACTCCATTCACTGGAAACCATCTTGATTGTCTTTATATATATATATATATATATATATATATATATATATATATATATATATATATATATATATATATATATATATATATGTGTGTGTGTGTGTGTGTGTGTGTGTTGCAATTATTACATCCATTCATAAATTTTCATGGCTGACTTGGGTGTCCCGGTTTCACCCTTCTAACTGTCTAGCTTTTATGTTTGTATGATTAGTAAGTGCAATCTGTGTTAACATGGGTGCTATCTTTTTATAGTAGTGGGGGTGTCCAGCCAAGTGTGCCTAGGAATATTAGATATTCTGTAGTGCCAGAGCTGGAGTTGCCCTACTCCTGAAATAAGTTGAGCGTATATTGGCCACGGGATCTCCCTTAGACCAATACTAGCCGACGCCTCAACATTATTATTTCAGAGTGCTGTTAGTTCTTAAGGAGCAATCCTTAAATCAGGCACCCGACACGAGCGGTATGTGACAATACCTCACTGCTCCACATGATGTGTCTCTTGTACATCCCAATGGCTTCATTTTGCACCTTTTCAAGTCGTTCAATCTGGGTAGCACTGACACTGAGGATGGCCAGAGCGTATTCAATGGAAAAAAGGACCAGACCGTAGAATAGAAGTACTAGTAGTCTTTGCTCGATATTGGAAGCAGCCATAATCCTCATTGCAGATAGACCTTTGCGTGCTTTTGTTATCACATGGTCAACGTGTTCCCTGAATGACAAGCTGCGATCGAACCTCACCCCGAGAAACGTCATAACGTTGGTTCTGATCAATACATTATCACGCATTTTCACTTCTGGTAAGTCCGACTTGACAATGTGATTGTTCAAAAAGAACCATGACAGTGATGCCTTCGAAAGATTGACATAGACATTGGAACCATCACACCAGGCGGCAATTCGATCGAGTTCTTCGTGCATTGTGCTGGCGATCTCCTGTCTATCACGCCCTCGTCGATTAATCAAAATGTCATCAGCAAATGACAAAAGTCCTTTCCTTTACATTCAACTGCTGCTCAGTGATCATCACCGTATACACGTTGAATAAGACTGGTGATAGCGGTGATCCCTGTGGCAAGCCTAGACATATCGTTTGCGGTTCTGAGGACCAGCTACCACACATGAGTTCTATCTTTCTCTGGAACAGGACCGCAGCAACCCAGCGGATCAGAATAGGATTAACTTCTAGTTTAAGCAGTAATTGCATTAAATATTCCTATGGTACTTTATTGTATGCATCTTTTAAGTCCAACACTGCAGCACATGTCTTTTTTTTTAATCTGAAATCCCTCGTAAGCATCGTAGGCGAAAACTGCAGCATTGAACCATGTCTCTTTACTTAACCTGTACCCTAAAAGTGTTGATGGGAACTTATCAAGTAGTTCCAAGTAGGTAGTCAATCTTTGTGCGACAATTTCCTCCAAAAGTTTGCCAACAGTATTCTGCATCAATATTGGCCAACCTTTTAAGGACTTTATTGTAGCGCCATGAGTTTCGTTTCTGGCCTAGGGCTTTTCTGCCAGGGGACAATAAGAACTAGAGCGTCTGCTTCGCTCTGCAGTAGGGACGTTGGTCGAGGGCTATTTGCCTAGGTTAACGCCTGAGGGTAACACATGGTACGCACATGTAATGACAAAGTTAAGTCGCAGTGGAGCCATTCGCTAGATATCACCCCATGCTCTACGCTCTTTGGTTGAGGCCCTCGACCACCACGTGACATTCCCCTGCCCTAAGCCGCGTCCCTTAGTTTGCGTGTAACCCATGATTTCCTTCAATTTTAGTGCATTCTGGGCAAATTCTATCGCAATGTCCACCTTCCTTTTCTGGCCCATCTTTAGCGCGGGCTGGACAGTGTTGGGGTCTGCAGATTCCAGCAACATCATAGCGCGTCTGGACTTGCCGACAGCAAGGCCTGTGTCAGTATAGAGCCACGTTTGTCAGACATGGCGGCGCTCCGAGCTATTTCCTCATGGCGGCTTTGATTTCCCGCTCCATAACTTCTACAGCGCTGGTGCTAGCCTCGTACACCAGCAGCTAGCAGAGGAAGTTTGGAGTAAACATACATTATAGACAACTGACTCTACACCCCCCCCCCCCCCCCCCCCCACCCCCCAATCAGCCTGCTCTGATAGCAAACAAGCCTGCAGCTGGAGACTAGCGACTATTCACAGCTGTATCTTTATCTGCAACGAGGAATTATACAAACATTATAACGGTTTCAACGGTTTAGTGCTGTCGTATTTTTTATCTAACTGGAATGACATTTGATACACAGAATCGCAAATACCACATGAAAAGTCTGAACGTCCCTCGTATAAAATACTTTAAGGAATTATTTTTACTATTGCACCCACCAAAACTGTTTAACTGCGTAGTAATAATGTGTTCGCACAAACATTTCGTACCTAATTGTTTCAGCTAAAGGAGCAAATGGCAGTGGCCAATTTCAGCAGAACCATGCGTACTCTAGCACTTCAGTTCAGAATGTCC